AACAAAAACAAAGTAAATAGATATTGGGAGTTGAAGGCAACAAGAAAAACTGCTAAAATACTTTCGTAGCGGCCTTTACTGTCATTCAATTTTAAAAACAGTATTTTTCTGAACCTTTGTTAAATATCAACAGTTTAATATTTCAATACCTTCATTTTAATTTTAGTTAGTTTTTTTGTTTTGCTTCATTTTTGGAAATCATTACAAAATAATCATTTTAAAATATGTCCACACTTAACAAGCTAAATTGCTGAAAGTCATTACAACGTATCAAGATTCAACCTAATTAAAAAATTGAAATTCTAGTAAAATATTGAAGGAAACACAATGAATCAAACTTTAAATAATTTCGTTTAAAAAATTGAAATAATATGAAAGTGTAGGAATCCAATATGAGCAATTTACTACTTATTTCCTTTTTAGAATGAAAACAGGATGCGAAACTCCTGGTAAGTGAAATTAGTTGTAATGAATAATAAGAATCTTAGATTTTTTTCTCATAGATGAAAAAAAAATTCAAAGTTTAATCTAATCTGCTAAAAATTTGAAATTCTCATGAAGAAAACATAATGAAAGAAACTTTATATAATATTCAGTTAAAAAACTGAAATAATGTTAAATATAAGAAACCAATATTAGCAATTTACAACTTAGTTATTTTTTAAATTGAAAACAGGATGTGAAACTCCTCTCTGTTAAGTGAAATATGTAGTAATGAATAAAAAAATATCATAGGTTTCTTCTCGCAGATGAAAAAAAAATTAAATCTGATTTGTTAAAAAGTTTAAATTCTAATCGAATATCATATTTAAGCAAATTCTAAGTAATTTCCTTTAAAAAATTGAAGCAATTTGAAAGTTTGAGAAGTCAATATGAGTAATTTACAACTTATTTCCTTTGTAAATTGAAAACAGGATGCGAAAATACTCTCGGATAAGTGAAATAAGCAGTAATGAATATAAATAATCTTAGATTTTTTTTCCCACAGATGACACCTTGACCTCAACCTTTTCCCTCACAATAATACACCTTTTAACTTTTGCTACTGTATAATTACTTATAAACAATAGTTATGGGTTGATTTTATCTGCGCATCTTTTGCTCAACAGTAAGCGATGTAAGATAAGTTAAACGCTTCTTCTATAGGGAGAGTGCATTGAAATCATTGTTAACTTTAGGTCATAAATTCTTCTTCTTTCAAAAGTAAATTTCATACATTTTTAAAATCGCTTTTTATTGTTAATATTTAAAAATCTTAAGATTGCAATACTTCTAATGCATTAATATGAGTCTGCATAAACATTAACAAATATGCATTAATATAATCATTAACAAATATTTGTAACACTCGGAATTTTTATTACATTGAATTAATTATAACTAACTTTTTTACTTCATTATTTTGTGACAAGCATTATCAATAAAATTAGATAATGCTTCTTTTGGAATTATCTGTGTTTTGCACTGTTTTAAATTTTTGGAAAGAATTAAATGATTTCAATAAGTTGCTCATACATTCGTGTTTAATGATATCGTAAAATGCGTTTTCATGCAATGTTTCACACTAGTTTTGCCATGAAATTGTTACGATCGATATAAATAAAAGCTTTTTTCAAATCGAGGCCCTCATAAAAATTTTAAAAATGGATTAGCATTTTTAAATTATTTTTACAAAAAAGAGCACCGTTTAATTAAAACTTAATAATATTTCTGAAATAAACCTTAAATTAAATTTTCTAAATTCAATCAATTCTTTTTCAATAAGTAAAACTGTTTGAAATGCTTCTAATAGCGAATCAAATCTCCTTTTATTCAAATTAATCATTTTATAATATCTCTTTATTAATAAAAGAAAAAATATAGAGAATTAAAATAAACTTATAAAATTTTATTTTATTTTATTTTACCATAGAATTTAAAAAGTAATAATAATTTAGTTTTCTGTAAAATTTCAATAAAAATGATTTGCTTTTATATGTCGTATAATTTTATAATCAAAATAAAGTTTATAATTGCTTTATGTCGTTTTATGGTACGTATAATAAAACATAAGTACGTATAATTACTTAATATTTCTTTAAAATTGTATATAAGTTTAACAAGTAAGCATAAGTAATTATTATTACTTTTGCAAGCGCAAGTTATATTTGAGCATCAATAAATACTTGAAACAATTGTTTTTTCAATACTTTGGACTGTAACTAACTTTTATACTTCCTAATTTAATGACAAACATTTTAATGCTATAAAAAGACAATTTATTGCTGTATTTTTCTTCATTTTTCCTAAAATACAAATTTTTTGTCAAATTTAAATATTTAGTTAAAGGTATGAATCCTTTATATTGAAAATTTAATATCTTTTATTTTAGTCACGTATTAATCGTTAAAAATCTCGAAAAAGAGAATAATGCTTTTTTAATCAAAACTTAAATTTTTTAAAATTTTTAATAACTGAATAAAATAATATTACGGTGTAGTAAAGTTCTTATACTTAAAGGATTCTGATATTATTATATTATTTCTAACATTTATAAGACTTCCCTTCTTTGTTTTATTCATTCAAAATAGATGCTCTGATTAAAATTAATTTTTTAAGACTTTACGGTTCTTAAAGCAAATGTCAAGAAATATTTTTATCTTAGAATTTTTTTTTTCTTAGAATTTTTATAGATCATAAAATTAAAAGTCTGAACCTTTTTGTACTTATATAATATAAACAAGTTTATAATCATACCGTCCCCTTGTGGTGCTTCAGTAAAAAAATTTCTCCTTTCTAACCGAATTTTACTATTTGTTTACTTCTTTCTTTTTTGAGAGATGATACTATATCATTTTTTTTTCCATTTTCGCCCTTCCAGGAAAATTGATTTTGTGGTCGACGGTAGATGTTATCGGATATCGCCAATAAGTGAAAAGTATTGTTAACTCAAATTACTTGGTGAATCTATTAGGAATACGTAATGTAAACTATGTAAATCTTTACAAAGATCCTTACCCGGCCGGAAAATGTTTTTATCTCATCTTTGTATTTACAATCTTTGTGAAACACGAAATTTTGACAAATGTTTTCAACAATAGCTTAGAGATTTATGACTTTTTCAATTTATTTTGCTAAAGTGTTTGACCTTATTTTTTTCCCTTGCTTTCTTGTAAAGTTATTGTTGCGTTTTTGTAAAAATATAAATGAATGACCGAATATCTTGGAATTATATTTCTAGGTCAAAGTTTTCCTGAACTTTTTTTTTTATTGCTCATAAAGCAACATAATATTGATAAATGAAATATAATATCAAATGCTCTCTACTCAAATTTAAAAGTGCTGCCTGCATTTTTAAAAATGCTAAAAGATAACTTTGGGAAAGATGATTGACAGTTTTAAGAAAAGTTTTAGGTATTGAAGCTAAAATTATAAGCCAGCTGATAATATGATTTTAATAAATATCCTGGAAGATTCGATGATGAATATTTCTACCATTTAAATTTATTTGTTACATCTCTGGTAAATTTTATTAGATCTGATTTAAAAAAATAATAATTAAACAATAAATTATTGCTTTTAAAAACGGAATAAAAATAAAATAATTTAATTAAAAACAAACTGCTGTATTTGAAATATATCACTCTTCAGACATTTCCAAGGAAATATAATGTTATAAATTAGCTTGAATTTAATAAAATTAAGGGGCCATCCACAAAAGATTTTGCGTGGGGGGGTATAGATTTTTCGATTAAAAGAACAATAATAATGAACTGTATTTAAAACAAAACTTGCTTTGGCTAGAAAAAAAAGATTATTTTTTTCTTATTTTATATATAATATGTTAGGAAAAGTTATTTTGATTTTTGAATCTACATTTGAAGAAAAAAATCAGAAACATTGAAAAAACCTGAAACATCATGAATTTTCAGTGCATCCCATATGTTTTCAGTTTATTTATCTTAAAACTTGTTTCCAAATTTGATTTCGGAAAAGTGCTGGGGTATAAAAATATTTAATCAACGAAATGTTAAGTGAAATTGTCATTTTAAACGAGTTACTATTAAGAGTAGATATACATTTCGAAAAAAATCTTTTTTTCTTGAGAGAAATTGAATATTTTCAATAAATGGAGCAATAATTATGAATTACTTTTAAGACAAATCCTGTTTTGGTTTAAAAATAAAAGAGTTTTTTATTTTTATTTTACATATAATAAGTTTGGAAAAGTTCTTTGGATTTTTGAATCTATATTTAAAATAAAAAAATTTAAAAAAAAATTAAAAAGTCTGAAACTTCCTGATATTTCAGTGCAATCCATACCTTTTCAGTTAACTTTTGCTTCTAGATTCGATTTTGGTTAAGTGTTGGAGATTAAAAAATATCTAATTAACGAAATGTTAAGTAAAAATTTTATTTCAAGCGAGTTTCTTTAAGAGTAATAATTACATTTTGAAAAAAAAAATTTCTTGAGAGATATAAAATATTTTTGATAAAAAAAATAAATAATGAATAATGAATTTATTAGAAACAATTCAGGTTTTAGTTTGGAAAAAAAAGTTATATTTAGAATTTTTTTAAAACAATTTTTACGTATAAAAAATTTGGAAAAGTTATTTTAATTTTTAAATCTACATCCAACGCAAAAATAAATAAATCTTAATTTTATTTTTTGAGAGAAAAAAAAATGTTTAATACTACTCCTTTTTTAAAGATGAAAAATTCAACAAGGTTTCCAATAATCAAAAGAAAACTAATTCAACTTCTAATTGTAAATTTGTCATTTTGAAACAGGCAATTTTTCAAATAACATTCTACTATCGGTATGTAAACAAAAACTCCAAGAATATTAGTTTAACTAATATTTTGGCAATCAATTTATTTTTGACACATTTTTCATTATTAAGTGATTTAACCATTTATTTGAGCAACGAAGAATTATTTGTTACGCATATTTTATAATTATTTTATTTTCCACTTGGGAATGATAATTTCTTTCTTCTAATTTTATCATTAAAATCATGTGTGACTTGATTATTTGTTTTGATGGTATGTGCTTCGTTTATTAATATTAAAAGTTAAGAAGTTTTATTTATGATACTGCCTTACTTCCTTCATATGAATTGTACAGATTTTAAAACTTTTTCGCACACCTAATTAATATCTTCTGATCCTTCTACAAGGCGATGAGTTCTGACTGCTTAGTTGTTATTACTCTTAAAATAAGTTGAAATTTAAAATAAATAAGTTGATTAGCTTTAAAGAAAGAAACTATTTAATAGTTGTGGTGTTAAGTAAAAATTAGAATTTTTAAAAATTTTTTTCCCTCAAATTCTGTTTCACTGACATAGTTTAGAATTTAGATTTAAGCATACAAGATAATGTAGTTCAGCATACAAAATAACATAATAAAACATGAGCTAAATATTGATATCCCAAAATTAAAATATTTTTAATTATTTCAAAAATTAACAATGTTTATATTTACTGTCTATACTCTTAAATAAATTATTGAGGAGACAATATTTTCACTAAATTTCTTTTCTCATCTTATATTTCGAAGGCTCTGAACTTAAATCAGTCAGAAAAAAATAGGCATTTAATAAGCTTTTTTAATTGTTGTAACTTAATTTATAGTTAAAATTAATCATACCAAAAAATTCTTTTACTTGAAACTTAATATAACTGTATTTCATAGTACGTTGGCGAGAACTTTTTACAATTCTGCGACCAATCGCAAAAATCTCTCTGAATAATGATAATAATAAAAAAAGTCAATGACACAAACAAAATGTTTTTGATGATATTGTATATGAGGACATATTTCAGATAAATTTTAATTAATGTGTTTACATTAGTAATAATAGCCCAACACCAGTATTTCTAAACGAAATTTCTTATTTCAAATATGTGTATTAAACTACTTTGCGCTCAGAGATATTTTTTTTAATTTGATCAAAATTATTTATTAAATGTTTCAATTATTTGAATTTTGATTAAAAAAATAATAATGTCATATAAAATGAGCAGGATCAGTTCTTGGAACTCTATCAAAAATCAAAAACTTTTCTCAAATAAAAATCGCAGAAGATAATCAATCGCAGCCTATTTAATGCTGACGTTTCTTTTACGTTTTCCAAGACCTTTTCCTTTAAACTTTTAAAAATTGCTATTGAAAAATAAAAATAATGGTTACAAATATACATTGTGATTATATTCTAATATTAAAAATATTAAAGAAACAAATATTTCAAACCTTATAAATAATCGAAAAGGTAACGTTAAAAAAGTAAGACTTAAAAAATAATTAAAATAATCCTCTATCTAAAGTTATAGCATGGCGTATAAAATTCTTTAAATTTTTTTATTACATATAAAAAGACTTCTTAGACTACTATGCTAAGCACAAATGTGCGTTTTCTTTCCTCCTTTTTTTTTTCTTTTCATTTTTTTGCAATTTTACTTCATGTTTTATAGACTACCTATGTAAGTTTTGTTTTAAAATATTCTGATAATTTTTTTATTTGTTTATTTAATTGTATGATAAGCAAGGAGAGTTACAAATTTTATGGTGCTGCCATCTATTTAACAAAATATGTACTACTTAGTAGCCTTACGTTTGCAAGAAATATGAATCTAGCAAGTTAATTAGTAGTTTTATATAGCATTTAAAAATTCCTAAATAAAGACATTGTTTATATATTTTGTTTCTGAAGAAACAATGTTTTATTATTAAGTATGATTTCAGGCAAATATTAAAGAAGAATGTAAATAAATCTCTTATTGTATAAATTTTAGTTTTCGTTATCGGCAGATTTGTTTTGGATATTTTATTCAATAACTGACAATTAATTGAAGTTTTCAAACTTACAAATTAATAAACAAAGTTAGACGTAATATTTCATGAGCTCAAAACTGGAAGGAAAAAAACTTGATATATTGACAAAGCTTTTCGCAACCATGTAAATTCAGTATCGCTATAATGTCCATCATATCGCAAAAAATATTGATTAAAGCAAGGTAGCTTGATCCAGATCAGAGAACTTTAAAATTCTGTTAAATTCAAATTCTAAATCTTATTTCAGATAGTCAAATAATTACTAATAAAAGAGTAAATTGCCAATTGCAATTAAAGCAAAATCTTTCTAAACAGGTAAGAATTCTTCATAAATAACTAAAATAATTCTTTTTAGAATCATGAAATTATTTTGAATTATGATTAACTAATAAACAAATAAAACTAAAACGATAGAAGAAAGTTAAAATAGATATTGTTGAATTTTTTCAATTTGCATGAAAAAATTAGAAAGTTCTGTCGATTTGGAAAACAATGCTGAATTCTAATTATTCAAACTTTATTTTGACTTAATCATCATTAAGTTTAAAATATTTCTAAAAAATTATATTTTAAGGTAATTAAAAATACTTTAATAAGAAGTGTTGTAAAAGAATGGTGTATAGTTGACTTAAATGCATACATTTAGTAAAAAGTAAGAAGAAAAAAAAAAGTTTTAACATTTGTGCTTCGTTTTTTTGAAAATTAATCTGGTCAATATTTCCTTTTTAAAATTTTAGGTTAACTTTTTGCCTACGGGGCCTGATAGCACCTGTTATTTTGGATCATCAGTTGTAACAGCAGTAAGCAAATGGTTAATGAAACTGGCAGAAAAATATATTAAAAAACGAGGATCATATTTATCCAAATCAAAAACTAAAAGTAATGAAGTCCATAAAAATTCTACTATTCCGGAAAATGATGTATAGATTGAAAAAAATAAAATAAAAGTACCATATAGAACAGATATGTAATATATATAGAAAATATTGAAGCTAGAGATGCAAGCGTTAACAGCTAAGATGATTTAGACAATTTCATGTTCTGATTGACTATAATTAATATTAAAATATGATACTTAAAATGGCGTTATCAATGTCTCAGCATTGAAACTATTACCAAAATATTTTTATGTGTATCAAATTAATTTTATGATACATCATTTGTATTTTTGATGTATGTGGATAAAAAACTAAATGCAATACTTTTAAAAGTTCTAAATTTTTTAATTAAAGTTCTAAATTTTTAACAGCACAAAAATTAAAAAAAAAAAAACTTGCATTTTCAAAATTTTTTTAAAAATGTATCCTTGACCCTTTTTGCTAGCATACTGTAAATGCGAATTTATAAAACAAGCTAGGCTTTAAAAAAATATTGACAGGGCAAAAGTATTATGATCTTCATGCGCTCGGTACTTTTAGTTTAAAAATCGTTCAAAAATATAAAAGATATTTCAAATCTGTTCAGAAGTAAGGAATGTCATTACAGTTCTATATTTTGTTAACTGTTCTCCTAACCGTGTCTTTGCCTTTACTCTAGAAATACGTAGATAAAAGACAATATTAATTATAAAATATTTTCATCAAAATTTCAAAAAAAGTTATTGTATTCTCGGAGTTCAACTTGTTTTGAAATAATAGTGAGAAGAAAAGCATGGGAATATTTTTAAATTAACATGTCGCACTCTCAGAAATAAACTTTTCACTTTTGGCGATTCAGCAATCCTTAAGTAGTTTATCGTTAATTTTGAGAATCAAAATTCGTCACGAAATCACATGATATGTGACGAAACGCGAACTCTTAAATGTATGACGAAAATGTTTCCTCAGTTCGAAACCTCATTGTGGGAGACAAAACTAGAATAAAGACTAGACAATCGAATATAAACCAACACGTTACGCTGACGGCTTTGCATGGTGGTGAAGAAGTTATTGCACCAGGATCATCCGGAGTTCGATTCCCTCTCCGGGTATGGGGGAAAATTTTCTATCTGTCTTTTTTTTTTTTTTTTTTTTNCGTGCAATACACTCTGAAATTTTTTTTTTTTTTTTTTTTTTTTTTAAATCAAATAGAATGACAAAATATTTCTTTCATTTTGACGAAGTTCGTTTTCTCGGAGAAGTGACGATAGTTATTTCATGAACGAAATTTTTGCTGCAAATTTTTGTTCAGACGAAATTTTTGCTCGTAGCATATACTAGGAAATTGTTTCGTCAAAAACGAAGAAAGTTTCGTGATAATCGAGTATCCATTTTTTACAGGGAGGTAATAACTCATTGCGGTTATCTGCAATATTACTATGGTTGGCGAGAGCAGGGATTTTTTCAGTCATATTTCTGCTGAAAAAGTACAGAGTCATAGTATTCTCATAGCTGAAAATTCTTCTGATTAATCAACTACATAAAAAATATTATCAGAGTCTGTTGGAATTATTGCACAAAGCAGTTAACATAGGTCAACTGAAACTTGAATTTATCTATATTATTTCATTAGTATCTTTCAATCATTTTCAATGTTAGCATCTTCTCGCACTTTATAAGAACTATTGGTATAGTTCATAGAGTATTATGCATTTTACTAATTTTTTGTTTGTTTTTTTGGTATTAAATATTTTTTTGCAATAATCCCATACGCTAGGACCCGTACGGGCCCTAGCTTCCCAGTAGCGTCCACACACAGTAGTGGAAATGAGCGCAGGACAGACGGAAATATGGGGCAAGTCCATGTCCTCCCCAAGGCGACAGAGCTTGCATTTAGGACAGTCAAAAATGTTTATACTAAAAAGGTGTTTGGCCAGACAGTCATGGGCCGTTACAAGTCTAAAGATAGCGACTGCCTTAAACCTGGTCTGATTTGGGATAGTTAAAATATGATTGAACCAGGTTTTGTGTATATTGCTTTTAAGGAAATTCTCTGAGAGCATGTTCCGGAATTGGTTTCGGACCAGCAATTTAAATGAGTGCAGAGAGATGGAGCAACGAGATGCTTGGGCAATAGTTGTTCCTTTCTTGGCCAAGAAATCAGCTTTTTCATTACCCCAAATCCCGCAATGTCCCGGGATCCATTNACATAAAAAATTAAAAACAATTCTTTTAAAAGTTCTAAATTTTTAACAGCACAAAAATTAAAAACAACAAACTTGCATTTTCAAAATTGTTTTAAAAATGTATCCTTGACCCTTTTTGCCAGCATACTGTATATGCGAATTTATAAAACAAGCTAGGTTTTAAAAAAATATTGACAGGGCAAAAGTATTATGATCTTCATGAGCTCTGTATTTTTAGTTTAAAAATTGTTCAAAAACATAAAAGATATTTCAAATCCATTCAAAAGTAAGGAATGTCATTACAGTTCTATACTTTGTTAACTGTTCTCCTAACCGTGTCTTTGCCTTTACTCTAGAAATACGTAGATAAAAGACAATATTAATTATAAAATATTTTCATCAAAATTTCAAAAAAAGTTATTGTATTCTCGGCGTTCAACTTGTTTCGAAGCTATAGTGAGAAGAAAAGCATTGGAATATTCTTACTAACATAACGCACTCTCAGAAATAAACTTCTCACTTTTGGCGATTCAGCAGTCTTTGAGTAGTTTATCGTTATTTTTGAGAATCAAAATTCGTCACGAAATCACGTGATATGTGACGAAACGCGAACTCTCAAATGTATGACGAAAATGATTCCTCAGTTCGAAACCTCATTGTGGGAGATTGTGTGACAAAACTAGAATAAAGACTAGACAATCGAATGTAAACCAACACGTTACGCTGACGGCTTTGTATGGTGGTGAAGAGTTATTGTACCAAGATCATCCGGAGTTCGATTCCCTCTCCGGGTATGGGTGAAAATTATCTACATGTCCTTGTTGTGTTCTGCCGTTATATGGTACCCACGTTAAAGTGGATATTAAAGAAGTTAGATACATTAGACACTACAACCTTTTTATTTTTTTTTTAAATCAAATAGAATGATAAAATTTTTCTTTCATTTTGACGAAGCTCCTTTCCTCGAAGAAGTGACGATAGTTTTTTCATCGACGAAATTTTTGCTGCAAATTTTTGTTTTGACGAAATTTTTGCTCGTAACATATACTAAGAAATGGTTTCGTCAAGAACGAAGAAAGTTTCGTGATAATAGAGTATTCATTTTTTACAGGGTGGTAATAACTCATTGTGATTATCTGCAATATTATTATGATTGGCGAGAGCAGGGACTTTTTCAGTTATATTTCTGCTGAGAATGTAAAGAATAATATTGTTCTCATAGCTGAAAATTCTTTTGATTACTCAACTACACAAAAAATATTATCAGAAGTCTGTTGGAATTATTGCACAAAACAGTTAACATTGGCCAACTGAAACTTAAATTTATCTATATTATTTCATTAGTATCTTATAATCATTTTCAATATTAGCATCTTCTCACACTTTATAAGAACTATTGTTATAGTTCGTAGAGTATTATGCATTTTACTAAATTTTTTTTCTGGTATTAAATATTTTTTGCAATAATCATCGTTTTATGTTATTTTTATACATCAATTTTCAGATTTATATCAAAACTGCAGCATAATTATTGCGTTAGCAATTTAAAATGTGTTTATTAATGCCTTTCCTAAAATAAATATATGGTTAATACAGAGTTTTAATTTTGATAATCTAGTTAATGCATTAAACATAAGACATTAAAACCTGCATTGTGAAAAAGTCTGAATCAAATTACAGTAAAAAGTACCAGTACTCATATTGCCTGTACTTTTTCCTTAAAATCTATTTTTACCAGAACTTGCTATGCAAGAAGAAATTTGATACAGCGGAATATTTACAGTAATATTTTCCATAAAATCACTAAATCTCTCTAATTAAACAAATATTACTGTAAAAATTATGGAATAATATTTTCCGGCAAAAATGAATTCTCTGGTAAAATAGTTTTTACGGATGATGCACGCAAAGTGCCGGTACTTTATATCATAATTTGTAAATCTAAATTGGTACATGCAATGTCATCATCACATCAGTAAGTTGGCATTAAATACAATCATGATTCATAACATCATTCCGTTGGGAAATGTTTCGATTCATTTCCACGGAATTAATCATCGGATCAATATTTTTTTCTTCCGCAAAGCGGTCTAAATCCCACAAGCAAAGATCCACCCTGTTAAACTCTTTGACTAAAACGGAATTGAAATCATCGGCGTGACAGTATATACCGTTGGTGGCACTATTAATATAGAGTCAGTTGATTGAGATGAGTTGAGAGTGTTTTCGGATGAGTGAACTCTTCACATTATTTTCATGTACACCCCGTTTAATTTGGAAAGTCATTTGGCGACATGCTGCTGTAAGTGTTACAGAATATCGATTGAGCAACATTTTTGGTCATGGAAAATGTATAGGATGTATTATATAAAGTAAACATCTGATTAACCGAAGGTGGATTATCCATTTGGATATGATCTGCTGTCTTGTTTTAGGATAAAGTATGAGAATAAAAACCGATTTTTCTCAATTTTTGTATTTCGTTATGCAAAATTACATTCTTTAAAATAAATTTTAAAAAATGGATTTTTTCCCAAAATTTTTCAAAAAATAATAAAATATAAAATAATAAGGTATAAAATAAAAAAATATAAAATAATAAAATATAAAATAAGAAAATATAAAATAAAAAAATATTAAGTAATAAAATATAAAACAATAAAAAAAAATAAAAAAAATAATAAATATTTACTAAAAGTTATTTTTTGCACGGAAGTATCTTTGGATAAACGAATTTTATGATTGTGCGTAAAATTTTTTCGATTCTCTTAGAAAGTTCTCGAGATAATGTGAAATTATCATTAAGGGTACCAAACTTCGGATCGTTCTTCTGATCATATTTCTCAGAATGTGCCTACCCTATATTTTGGGGGTCAGAAATCCAAATCCGTCGAAAAAAGCTAAGGATTATTCTGAGGAAATATGTTTGTTTTTTCTGATTTCGTAACTTAAAATATCGACTGCAGATAAAAATTAGCACATTTGATATCAACCTCTCGAACCAATAAGATTGTGTTCTAGAACGTGAAGATCCAATCATTAGTTCAAAAGTTATTCAAGTAGGTCCATTCTTTTCGCACTGCGCGTACAATCTTATTTGATAAGTCAATTGGCGTCATGCCGCTACACGTGTTATAGGGTATCGATTGAGCAACATTTTTGTCAACAAAAATGTGTATGACATTATGGGAATATACAAAATATATACAAAAATATACAAAACTTAAATTATATAAAATACTTAGAATTTTAATCCTTCAGATTTAATTTAAAAGAAACTCTACACGTTACATTGTAAAAAAAATGGATTAAAACAGGTGTACTTGTTTTTTTTTAATAACAAAATAAAAATAAATAGATAAACAAACACAATGAATAAGTAAATAAATAAACCAACTATTGACACACTTACTAAAAAACCAATCATTTCATACATTAGTTACAAATTTTTAAAATTAAAAATTCTTAAGGTTACATAAATTAAAGTTGTTATAAATTATTTTAGTTTCTAATTTCTGAATTGTGAATTTAGAAAACCACTGTCCTACACAAAGTATAAAACAAGGCTTGTCAAAGTAACTTTTAAAGTAATGAAAATGGAATATTCAATTTGATATTTTCACAGATGCAAACCACATGGAAAGAAAATTAAATGAATAACATCTAATATTCTTTTTAGCCTATAAGAAATATTTTGAAATCAATTACAAAAGATCGCATATCTTACAATTCATGTCTGAAGATCATTTTTTTTGTACACTGAGACAGAACAGTCAAATAATCCAATAATCAAACAAGTACGGCCATAATATGGTAAAATGTATCGTGTTTCTGGTTCTTCCGAAAAGCTCGGTAATTTTTACCGAATTTCGTAAGGATTTTTGTTCAATCGACAGTAAAATATGGTTTCATAATATGTAATAAAATTTGGTAAACGTGGTAACATTTTGTAGTTTTAATATACCTTAGAGCATGGTATAAAAATCAGTTATTAGATGTATTTTTCAGTTTTGTATTTTTTATATATGTGGTAATAAGAACTATAATTTTTAACAGGCAAATGAATAAATAAATAAATAAATAAAAATAGATAAATAAAAATAGATAAATACATTAACATGCAAATGAATAAATAAACAAATAAATATAAATAGATCAACAAATTACGAAGCAAATAAATAAATAAACACATAAGTAAAAATATTGCATTTCTCCCTTAATGCAATGCAATATTTTTGAAGAAAAAGCATATTGATAAAAATTAACATAATTATTTCACCAAAATATAAAAATTTGTAAGCTATGCGAAATTTGAAATTTAATTTTATCATCTTTTCTTATATAACTATGGATATAGATTTTTCCTAGTTCATTGAGGAAAAAACATCCTAATTGGCAAAAATTCGAAATACCAGTATCAAAATCCAGTAAAAATGATACCAGAATCAGTATAATGATACCGGAAATGTAAAACCTGGTATGAAACTATACAGGAAATTTTAAAGACTGGAATGGCACCATACTGAAATTCTATAATCAGTATAGCACCATACTAAAAATTTTAAAACTCGTATGGATCAAACTGGAAATTCAAATGTACTGGAAAGTGTGTAACCAATACAAAATCGTACTGGAAATTATGATACCAGATTTCAAACATACTGGAAATTTTGAAACCAGTTAGTATTAATGCTGGAAATTTGAAGTAGCTTTAAAATATACTAGGAAGCATTTAAGCAGTATACTAATTTCCGTAGAAGCCCTGTCCAAGTACGCAGATGAACTCAAATTGAGCTTCAACCCAACCAAATCGATAACCACCTTCTTCACTACTAATAAGCGACTTTATAAATATTAACCATCCTTGTTTCTCAAACACCAGAAGCTCTCCTACGAGAAACACCCAAAATACCTGGGATACATTATCGATACCGAATTTACAAGTAACAAACATATTGATTATATTGTCTCGAAGGCTAGGAAGCGCCTAAATATTATTAAGTGCATCGCTGGTAGGGATTGGGGAGCAGATGCAACTACTCTTAGGACTTCCTACCAGGCTCTTGTTAGACCAATTCTTGAATATGGCTATCCTGTCTACTGCTGTGCTTCTCAATCTAACTTAAACAAATTGGAAAAGGTTCAACTGAGCGCCGCTCGCATCATCACTGGACTGAAGCGTAGCTGCCCTTCAGAGATCGTTCTTTACGAAGCAGATCTGCAACCTCTTAACTTCAGAAGGCAAGCTAATTTAGTGAAATATTACAATAAACTTTCCAGTTTAGACCAAGGCAATTTAACTGCTATTTACCTAAATAACTGGACCTGCAATCAAAGGCTAAAGAAAAACAGTCCTTTTAGTCATGTTGAATCACAACTGTTAATCGCTGAAAATATTGAACCTCTTTATCTTCATAGCAATCTTAGTACTTGCTTGGATCTTTCCAATGTTTGTTTCCATGAAAGCCTCCCTACCATGCTTGACAAGAAAGACTGTGTGCCTGACTTCCTCAGACAGTTGTCCCTGGAAATCATCAATAAAATCCCTCCAAACGACATCAAAATATTCTCTGATGGCTGTAAAATGGATATACAGACTGGCAGTGGGGTATTTATTGAAACACCTCGAGAGAACTACACTCTTCATCAACGAAACCCCGATTTTTGCTCCGTCTTTCGAAGCGAACTAATTGCAATCGACAGGGGACTAGAGAAAATCTTGAGTGAAGGGCACCTTGGAAATACTTGGATACTATCTGACAGCCGTAGTTCAATTCAACACCTCAAAAATTGGGCCCTCATTGGAGATAAAACCAGTTTTTCGATCTTACAAAAAGTAAAGCTCATTTCCCAACAGCATGAGGTCCACTTTCAATGGATCCCGTCCCACGTCGATATCCACGGCAACGAGTTGGCTGACACTCTTGCAAAGAAGGGACTAGACCATCCAGTCCCCTCCACCTCAGAGCTTACATACCTTGAACTTTTTGCAAGGCAAAAGGCCCAGAACAAACAAAAGTGGCTGCTTCCACCTTCCACCTATTCACTACTGGTATAAAGCAAAAAGACCAGGACTCTCTCTATCTCTCCCTGGTGACAGGCAAACCAACACCTGCCTATCCCAACTGGCCAGTGGACACCTGAAAAGTCTCACATTTTCTGCAAATCAAAAGATCTTTCCTCTTTGCCCTAAATGCCAACAAAACCAGGCATCACCTGAGCACATCTTGATCTGTTTAGGGCTGGACTGGAACGATATTCATTCCTCTCACATTCTGGTTTCGGATTTTCTCAATATCAACGGATTCATTGATCTGGTCTGACCCCGTCAGACCAGATGGGAATTAGCAACAACAACACTAATTTCCGTTAGTTAATTTCATAGATTTTGATAAGGATTCTTAACATATATATTAAGGGCGTTGGTAACTTACATTTGCTATGTATATTAATTAAATAAATACATATTTAAAATTATTAAAATCATTTTATAATTTTGAAACGAAGAAAGTGTTTGAGTAAGATTTTTACTCATTTTAATTACTTTAAAATCTGTTAAAATAGAAACTTTATTTTTTCCCCTTTTTTTGTTCATCTACAAATCCAAAGTTTTAAATTGTTTTTAAATTTTCTTTATTTTTGTTACAGTTTTGCTCCTATATATAGAAATATGTAAGGTTTAATAGATAATTAATTATGCGTGATAATTGATAATTTTTAACAGTTGTTATCCCCGGCTTTTGCAAAAATTTTTTTCCAAAACGGATCTGACAAATTCTCGGATTTCATGTAGCTTGTGGTCCATTATCTAAAATGTTGTCTCATTAAGCAGAATTAATGAAATTCATACTTTTTATTTTTTATATGAATAAAATAATACAATAACGAATGAAAAGTGGAGAAATTTGTAGAAAATTTTGTCGAAAATTAGTGGATTTGAAGAAAAATTAGCGGAATCAATCAATTAAAGTATTTTGAAGAACTTGTCTTTTTCAAGCGGAATCGAAAAATAAAAATCACTTACTTTTATCTTAATCGAAATACATCATTGACTTACAAGAACTAGCAGAAAGAAAAAAGAATCAAAGATCAAACATTAAAGATAATAAATATTAGTTGATTCTTGAAAAGTTTTTAATTTTTCCATTGCTACATTATGTAATTAAACAATAAATATACTGGATAAAAAAAGAAATAAATGAAAAAGCGAATAAAAAAATGCTTTTTTTGATTATTTGTCTTATATCAGGAATAATAATAATAAAAACAAATATATCTATAGATACTGTTGCCACCGGTTAGCCAATGTCTATTGAAGGCTATGCGTGCTAAAAATCATAATGATTTTTTTTCTTTCTACTTTACTCTGAAGGGAGCGAATGCAGTGCGTATAATGCGAGCAATTATAGTGCGCATGCGTTAATTACCTTTTTTTTTTTTCATTCCAGGAATCGAAAACATGTTTATTTTTGAGGAGGACGCAATATCTACGTTAATCTACTCTGCCGGAAATTTTGGAACATATATTGATCAATAGTTTAAGAAATACAAAGAACTAAAAATATTTTTTAAAAAATAAACCAAAAATCAAATAAAAAAATATTTTGTATTCTTTAATATGGGATCTAAGCTGATTGATGCATTCGTTCGTATTAAACCTGATTACACGACAATTGTAGAAAAACATGGTTCAGTTTATCACCTTAATTACAAATGTATTAAATTTAAACCATATTACGATTCAAAATATTAATTATATGTTTCAACTTTGAACTAGTTTTTCCGAGAATGTTACTATGCATTTGAAAAGCCACTGAATTTCATGTACAGTGTGCCAAAAATGAAACTGACCGCAATGAATAACTTTTGATCTAAAGATCGGATCTTCACGATCTAGGACTCATTCTTAATGGTTCGAGGTTGTAATGTCAAACATGCTAACTAATAAGTGCAGACGATATTTTAAGGTTACGAAATCAGACACAAATGCATACTTTTTCTGAAAAAACATATATTTTTCTCAACTGATTCGGATTTTATGACTGCCATTATATAGGCGGTAGCCGCAATCAGGGAAATATGGTCCCCATAGTTTGGTTAGTAGATCGATCCTAAGTTTAGACTCGTTATTGTTAATTTCACTTTTTTCATATTTCGCTGTATCTTGAGAACTTTTTAAGCTAATTGAAAATTTTTTACACACCACTATAAAATTCGTTCATTCAAAGATAGTTCCCTTATAAAATATATAAATAATTCCAGTATATATTCCAAAAAATAACTTTTTCTAAGTATTTAATTTTTTTATTTAAGGATGGTCAGAAAATTTGTAAGGTATACCATTTTTTGCTTCATTTTAAATTATGTAATAATGGCGAAATAAAAAATCTGATCGAAATCGGTCCAATACTTCCTGAAAAATTGATTATCAGAAAGTCTGATACTTAAAATTTGATTTCTCAGTTTCAAAAAATTGTATGCTCTACAATTCAAAATTTTCTGACTATTATTAAATAAAACTATAAAAAAATTATTTACTAAAAGTTACTTTTTTTTTTTGCTTGGAATTATCTATGGATAAACGAATTTTATAATTGGATGTAAAAATTTTTTCGAGATATAGCGAAATACGCAAGAGGCTAAATTGACATTAAGGGGTTCAAACTTTGGAGCGTTTTCCAGACCAGATCAGATTTCCCTGTTCACGGCCCCAGATTTCCCAGTTTAAATAGTCATTTAATATTCTAAATTGCATAAATTAGCTTTAGATAGCTTAAATAATCGTATAATATTCTGATTGACAATGCGTTATTCGAATAGCTCAAGTGATTTTGAAATATAAAATTGCTATAGCCAGTCTTTCAATGTTCTTAAAATCAATATTCTTATTGTTATGCAGTGCTTTAATAGTCCAACAATAATCACGCAGCGTTCTAGTAAATAGTCTATTTAATTAAAGTAAAAAGTTATTGTGTTCTGGTATACTATGATTCTGGTATATTCTAGATAGAAGAAGATGCACAAAATAAATGTTAAGAAAATGGTGAAGAACAGCTTTATCGAATTTATTTGGAAAAAAAGAAGTAAATTTTTTTTAGCTTGCTATTTTTTAGATTTTAAAGAATTTGGATGTTTTACAAGAGCTTAAATTATCAAAATTAATTAAAACTATCCCTAATTGATATGAAATTTAAAAAAATGATTTTCAATAATTTTTTAAATTTGAAATTGACTTTAAAACAAATAAATTTCACTGCTTTGTACTAATTTTCTTTTTTCTTTACCCTTTTCTAATATTAAATTATTTTCTACAAATACGAATTATTTAATATTCCTTTTAAAAATAAAACATAAAATATTAAAAAAAAGAACTTCTTTAATTTCACTCATCATGTACTATTATATTTATATTTCTTTAGCTCACAAGCAAAAATTTATGCCCAGTATTGATAATTTCGAATTAATCTGAACAAATCGACCTATATTCGTAAAAATCCATCTCCAATTTTCAGACATATCTAGCACATAACACAATTTTAGTTGTTCTTTATTCAATTTCATTCCAGTCTAGGTGAGCTTAATACAGGCAGCTACATGACTTCCCACCCATTGTTTGTGGATTAACTTTATCCGTGACTGAGTTACATAAATCGAACGAATTTTTTCCGCAATGAGTTTTGGAATCACCGCATTTTTACCTGAGGCAGATCATTTGATAGAAGGTTATCATGCCTTGTGCAGAACACGCGTTTGACTATCTGCCTTTCCAGCCCCCCATATTCTACAAAATATAGAGAAGCCCTCCCCCTAAAAAGAGGCAGACTGTAAGCGTAGTTATCAACATATGGGGGATGGGTGCAGCGAAGCCTGGATGCGTCTGGCACGTGGGGCACACGCGCCTCATTTCGTAACTCCCCTTCTTTATTTCATTTCTTTGTAATTTTGTTTTCGTTTTCAGTTTCATATTTTTCATATACAAAATGTTAAGGATCATTTTGATCAGACAATTGTGACAATTGGGGTTACTTCAATCAACATAAAACCACAAAGACATAAAAACATAGGCATATAAAGATATGAAAGCACATTTTGTTTCATTATACAAAATGGAACTTTAAAAAGTTAAATTTTTCAGGATGTATTTAAAACACTGTTCAGAGTATTTTTTTGATAACATAATTAATTGATTAACATATAATATAATAAATAGATAGCAAATAATAATTAGATGTCAACAATCAATTTCGATTTTAGATTATTTAACAAACGATTTTTTGGATTATTCTCAAATAATTCAATGCTATAAAAACTATTAAGGCTGTATAAGCGTATTATAGCAGTGTAAATTAACTTATAACCACAATAAGTCCAACATTTTGATTTTATATGCATAGAAATGAAGATGTAAATATTTAAAGATATGATAATAGTATGATAATAATTTTTCTAATTTTAAATAAAAAGTAATAAAAAGAGCACATTGTGACAGAATACTATTCACAAAGAAAAGAAAACGTAAACCAACGCAAAGCTACACTGTAAAAATCTCCGAATCAAATTACTGTAAGAACTACCTGCATTTAGGGTGTCGGTACTCTTTACCGTAAAATCCATTTCGGTTTGGGTTTTTTACATTGCGCCAAGACTAGTGTAGAAATAATAAACGTATCACTTTAAATAGTAAGATCTTAATATTTATTAAAGATAATAGAGAATAAAACGTATTTAGACACTTTTTTCGGAACAACTTTACCTATTAAAATGCTGCAAACGCTGTACAAGCGTATTACAACAGTGTGGAATAACTTATTACTAAAATAAAGTTGTTCAACATTTCGATTACAAAAGTATATAATTGAAGATGTAAATATATAGTGATAATTTGTCTAATTATAAGTAAATAAAAATAATAAAGAAAATATCATATTGGAACAGAATATTATTCGCAAAGAAAAAAATAAAATGTAGAATTCCTAGATTATAAACAAATATCTGCAGACTGTATGTAACTGAATTTTGAAAAAATCAATATTTTAATTATTTTTGTAAAAATAACGT